CTTTAAGACCCCAGACACTATCTTTTTTTTTTGACACTGTGTCTTTCAATAGCCGGGTACCATCTGTCTTCTTCGCAGCATTAGCTTATGTTCCCAAACTTAAACATTTTAAAAATAAACATTTTTACTGTAGTGTATACTTCCCTATTGAATATGTATGTGCTTCTCTGAATTTGGCTTAGTGATTACATGTTGGGCCGCTAACCTCGGGGTCAGAAGTTAAAAAACACCAGCCACTGAAAGAAAAAGGGCTTTCTACACCCATACATAGTTACAGTCCCAGAAACTCATAGGGACAGTTTTACCCTGTCCTATAGGGTCGCTGTGGGTCGGCATCGACTCAATGGCAGTCAGTTAGTTTTGGTCTCTGAAGTTGTAAGTGGATTTAGAGATAACTGGTTTCTTCACCTCTTTTGGCCCTGTCTCATGCAGAAGGCACTCTGGTGGTGCTCCAGGTAAGCGTTGGATTGCTGACCACAGATCAAGGAGGCAAACCCACGAGCACTTCTTTTTTGTTTGTTTGTTTATAGGCCGTTGAAAAAAAAGTATTTACTCATTTTATTATCTATTAATCATTTTACTGGGGGCACTTACAAATCATATAACAATCTATCATTCAATTGTATTAAGCACACTTGTATATATGTTGCCATCAACATTCCCAAAACATTTTATTTCTACTTGAACCCTTGGTATCGCCTCCTCTTTTTTACCCTCCCCCCCACCCTCACACCCTTGTGAATCCTTGATCATTTATATATTAGTTTTGTTGTTTCGTGTCTTACACTGTCCGGTGTCTGTTGTCTCCCTTCACTCACCTTTCTGTTATTTGCTCTCCTGGGGGGTGGGCTATATATCCAACCTTGTGATGGGTTCCTCCTTTCTCACCCCCACCCGCCACCTCCCCACAGCACTTCTGTGGGGGCAAGGGTGAGGCTATCTGCTTCCTTAAAGAGTTACAGCCTATATAGGGTCACTGTAGATCGGCATGGACTCAGTGACCAGCTTTGTGTTTTTGTTTTTTGTCTTCTTTTGTTCTAATGCAAATCTCAGCCCTGGGCTGTGGTGGCCTGCTGTGTCCTTGGGTCTTGGATCCATTGATCTTCTGGTCATTTCATTTGCCCTCACTCTGGCCTGTCTCTCATCAGCACCTATGATGCTTTTGAGCTTCTGCTCTGGGGTCACAGGACTTGAATTCAAGTTTGAACCATGTCTCATCTGAATCAGTGTGAACAATATGCTCATTAAACCTTAGCTTTCTCCCTTGTGAATAAGTATTAGAACCTCTGGGTTGTAGTCCATGTGAAGTGCTTTTATGCTTTCTGGCTGAGAGAGGACTTTAAAAAAATCAGACAACAAACTCCTATATTTGTATTGTGAGTGTTAAAAAGCAGTAATCTACAGCATGTGCCACGTAGAGAATGTTTCCAAATTCCAGTGTTTCCAGGATTGCAGACAGTTTCCCCATCCTGGTGGTATTTCAGGCGCTGTAAGTGTAAGGCCTTTCCCAGTGTGCTCTGTGTCACCCAGTGCCACACGGAGTTTCTGGAACTTTAAGTCATAGCCCTGATCTTTCACTCATTTCTTTTAAGTAATTGGGTGGCCCTTTGAGCTCCCTAAGTAGAATTAACTGGTTTTCTTGGGTAAGTACGGTGACTGCTTTGTTTCCTGGTGGTATGGCGGCTGTGCCATGGCAGGACGTGGTCCCGTCCTCTTTGCCGTCTGTTTTGTGGGAAAGTCCGAGTGGTTTCAAAGCAGATGCCATTAGCTCCCGGCAGCAGCCCTTCAGTCTCTAACCTTGGCATGCCTGTAGCCCTGGCCTTTGACCTCTGAGCTCTGGCTTGGTGTGGTCCTTCATCTTCCGATATATTTCTAGTGATGAAGTCTTGAGCAATTTTGTGGCAGAGGAAAAAAATAGTTAAAAAAACACACGTAAATGAAAGCTGATTTTAGCAGAAGTAACATTTCCTGTCGGATGGATGGTGCATGTTGCAGAGTGAGCTGGGATGGCTCTCTGAGGACATATTTGCCCTCTATTTACCTTGGGTATGATCTTAGGTTTTTGGAAGAACGGAAAGAGATGACAGAGAAGTTTGCTGCAGAGCACGATGCTGCCCTGAAGGCACTGCAGGAGAAGCACTCGGGCGAGCTCCAGCTCCTCCAGGACAGTCACCGGCAGCATGTTGTGTCCCTGACGGCCGAGCTGCAGGCTGAGCACCAGGCTGAGACGGGCGCCCTGAAGGCTGCGCTGGAGAGTGAGCAGTGGGTGCGTTTGGAGGCCCACGTGGCTGAGCTACAGACCAGACAGGCCGCAGAGCTCAGTGCATTAGAAATGAAGCATCTGTCAAGCCTGGACTCCTTGAATTCCTGCTACCTGTCTAAGATCCAGACCCTACAGGGTGAGCACCGGGGGGCCCTGAAACAGCTGCGAGTAGACCTGGAGGAGCAGCTGCGGAAAAAGGACTCCTTTCACCAGATGGTTCTGAGCCAAGAGCGAGAGAAACTTAAACTGAAGCATGATGAAGAGCTTCAGCGCACAAAGGACGACCTGAGGATTGAAATGAGCACCAGACACATTGAGAACCTGAAAGCCATGGCTGCTGAGCTTCAGCGCGCACATCAGGTGAGCCTCTGAACACAGGGCTCCTCCCTGGGCCCTCCCCACCAGTGTGCTCGCGTCCACTGGTCTGACTGTGTGCTTCTGCGTGCTTGTGTCTAGTCTGCGTGCGAGTGTGTGCATCTGTGTTGAGTACCTGTGATGGGCAGGAACCAGATGAGCATGATGGGTGTGAACCAGGACAGGGACGGGCTACTGAACAAATTTAGTAAGACTTTTGTCAAATATTAAGAATAGATGGTCCAAACTGAAAATTATGAAGGCTTGGATCAAAAACAGTACCTGAAGAAAACGAACTTGCGCCTCCTTTACATATCATCGAGTAGCCCTGATGGCATCGTGGGTTACTGTTGGTGTGCTAACTGCAAAGTCAGCAGTTTGAACTCACCAGCTGCTTTGTTCCTGTAAAGATTTATAGCCTTGGAAACTCGCTATAGGGTTCCTGTGAATCAGAATAGACTATAGCAGTGGGCTACAACCCTTCAGGGAGCTTTGCTGGCCTTGTGGATTAGGCTTAGGCTGCTAACTTCAAGGCCGGCAGTTCAAGCCCACAAGCCACTTTGCAGGAGAAAGACGAGGCTGTCTGCTTCTATAGGGTTTAGAAACCTTACAGAGGGCCCATATGAATCCAGATTGATCTGATGACAGTGGTTTGGGCTATGTATCTTCTGCACAAGTATTTTGTGAGTGATGTGCCAATGAGCTTTTGTCCTTCACTGGGTCTGGGTAGTAAAGTGAGTTAGCTCCGCATGCCACTTTGTGTCCACTTCTGTTCAGTCTGATTTAAGAATAAAAGGAAAAGGCAACCTTGCCTGAAACTTTATTAGGCTCAATGGCTTTGTTTTGCACTTCAGCTCTTGTTTGTTTTATAACTTTCTAATCTACGTGGCCTGGAAGAGTCATTGTTGGGAAAATTCCTAGCCAATGGATTATGCAGGTTCCCCCACTCACCGTTTACAAGCCTGGAGCACAGGAGATGGTCACCTGTTGTGGAGCTTTGAGTTGTGTCTCTAGTTCAGCAAGGCCCTCAAGACAAGCTCTGGTGGTAGAGGCACGGTGTCCTGCTTCTCTTTGTTGCCTGTCATAGGTGGAGAGCACCCTAGCTGATGTGGAGAGGGTGCTCCACGGGCCTGCCTGTGTCCTGGAGAGACAGGTCTTACATGTGTGCTTCTGCTGATTCATTGCATTTTGATAGTAGGCACACCGTAAGTGCTGTGGAAAATAAAACGTGTTCTCAACTGCAAGCTTCAAACCTGATTTGCTTTCTTTCAAGTAAATGAATGAAAAGAATATTCTGAAAGGAGCAGCCTAATACATGCACATGAACAACTCACTTGTTTTCAGCCATGTTGCTGCTGTTGTGTTCAGAAGTCAAGTTGGTTCTGACTCAGACCCTGGGGAGTAGAACTGCTGCTTAAGGTTACCTACGGGGCAGACGTTAAGAGAAGCAGGTCTTTCCTCCTGTTAAGAGAAGCAGGTCTTTCCTCCTCCGGGCTTCTGCTGGCTTCAAACCACCAACCTTTTGGTTAGCAGCCCAGGGCCTCACCATTGCATCACCAGAACTCCCTTTTGAAGCCACAGCTGAATTACAGCTAAGACAGAGCTTGGATACTTGGGAGTGTGTGGAATGGTGTATCACCTTGCAGATGTGGTAGGTGAGTTTGTGGTGAACTGTTTGTCATGAAGAGTAGGTGGGATGATGCACGGTGTGAGTGGTGTGGATGTGAGGACTGTGAAGGGGTGAACCACGGTGTGAGTGACAGGTGTGCTCACCTGGTAGATGCTGTCTTGCAGGAAGAGCTGGCTTCAGCTCTGCATGCTCAGCGGCGCCTGCTGGAGGAGGAGAAGAGTTCGGCTCTGGAGAGTGTCAGTACTGAGGTTCTGCTCTCAAATCCGCAGCGCCAGGCGACCCCACAGGTGCTTGAAGACATACACACGGCTGGCCCTCAGGGACTGCAGGAAGAGGCTGTGCAGGTGAGTGGTTTTGATGTATAGTGAAACCCTTGGACTATAGTGACTGCAGGTGGACCTGGGGGCAGGTGACCTCACAGGTGCTGCTGGCTTCTATGGTGGCTTCTGGGCTTCTCCCAGCTGCACCTTTCCTGGCCGAAGGGGGTGTGGGCTTATCAGTGGTTAGATGATTGAAGAGTAAGGCATACTTCAGATATAGATCCCCCTGGGACTCATCTTCCCCCTAGTGTGTTGGCTGTCCTTGCCACCAAGTCCTGCCTAGTGCACCTCTGTGGCTGCACTGTTCCCCAGGCACCCAGCTTCACATGACTTCTCCCAGCCAGCTTGTTCCTACAGGAGGCTGTGGGCTCCTCCTGAACTCCTCTGCTGCCTTGTTCGGGATTGTTCAGAGAGCCCTGTCCTTATTAGAAGGGCTGTGTCAGGCGATGGAAGCAGTGGACTTCTGTCAGGAAGTGGGCTTGGGTTGGGCATGTGCCTCCCAGCCTTCCATGCTTGAGTCCAGGAGCTGACAGCGCAGTCATATGAAGAGAGACCCCACTGGATGTCACCTCTACTCTTGTGACCCTTGCCCCAGGCGGCGTGTGGTAGGAGGAAAACCACGGTGGGGTAGTGGTCCCACCCAGTGACCGTGGTCCTGTTGCCCTCTGCCCAGGCTTGTGTGCCCTCACTCCATTGTCTCCCTGCCCAGAATTTGCTGACCACACACGTGAGGTCTTCTGAGGGTTTGTGTGTGTGTGTGTGTGTGTGTGTGTGTGTTCTTTGCCCATTCAAGTAACTGTGGTAGAATTGGCTAAAAGTGTCTTGAAAGCTTTGGTGTCACTTTGGTCATGTGAGTGCTCGCTCTGGGGGCACAAAGCTTCCGTTTCATACATTTCCTTTCATTTGTGGATGCTGGGGCCTTCTCGTGGGACCTCTTGTGTAGCTGGGTTTCACACGGGGAAAATAACCAGTTGACTAGAGGGAAGTGTGATATGCTGATCTAGTTTTTTGTGTGTGGAGAATTTCAGCAGGCACAGAGAATTAGCCCATAACTCCCTGGTTCTGAGGTGCCTACCAATCTGGGTTTATCCAGGTTTTCCCACTCCAGTTTGTATGAACTGGAAGACACCAGAGAACTGGAGTCTTCATCTGTGGCTCCTTCCGTGTGCACTCTACAAGGCATCGCCTCTGTTCCCTCCTACAGAACATCCGTGTCATTATAATCTGCAAAATGAACAGTGACTCCTTCATACCGTCAAATAGGCAGTCCGAGTCCAGCCTCCTCCTTGTTGGGGCTGTTCACATGTCCAGATGGGCCCACAGGGACCTCATTTGTGTGGGTTTTTATTGCTTCTGGTGATGTTCACACCTGGTCCTCCAGGGCTTCTGTTATGGCCAGGTCAGGTTCCTTGTGAAAATGCTTCCTGGGTGTGGACATACCCTTTCCATCGAAGCCCTTCAGGCTTGTTTTCCTAACATATACTACGTAAAAGCATGGGCTGGGTGCTTCCCAAGGTGACAGGGTTATTGTTCCCAAAATAGCAGGGGACAGGCTGTGCCTTCTCTGGTGCTGTGATTTATCTGGGCCACAAATATCCCTGCACCTGTTTGAAAGTCAGTGCTGCTTGTCAGGACGGTTAGTAGCACACACTGGGAGGGCTTGGGTGACTCTCCAGTCTAATGCCCTCTGGGGACTGGCTGGGAGAAGAGTTCTGAAAATACGAGAGTGATTTCTTCTTGCTGGAGACTCTCCTGTGTTGGTGGCCCTGAACAGAGATCTGGCACACAGATGCAGACTGTGTGCGTGTGGTCTGTGCTGATTACTCAGGGCAGATTCATCTTTCCTTGGTTCAAAAAACAAGTTCATTAACAGAATGATTTCTGAAGATATTAGAGAGCGTATGGTCAGTTTAGATGTAGTTTGAATGTCTTTAAACTATTATTAGTTGAATTTATTTTCTTTCTTACTTTGGTAGTTTTTAATGTAATGATACTGTTTTCTTTCTTTAGGCATATTTATGAACTTTTCTTGCTGATCAAAATATCTGAGACATTTGTCCAGTAATTCTGTAGATTCTTGGAAAAACCTGAAAATAACTGAAAAAAAAACCCAAACAAACCCCAAAGCTACCCTTTCCTTGCATTGACCTCATCATATGAAGCATGACAAATTAAGCCAAGTTTTCCTTGAGGCTAGGAATAGAAGTGCTTTTCAGGAGAGGAGCCCTCACAGGAGGGAGGGGGCCACCTCCTGGCAAAACCTTTGAGTGACAGAGCCAGGTGGTGGGGCAACTGATATCTGCCGGCCTAGCGCCCGAGTGTCCTTGACGATCATTGTTCCCTTGGTGCCACCCTGAGGACCTTTTCAGAATGAGGACGCTGGCATTGCATCCTGCAGCGCCTGCACCCTCTCATGGTGTAAAGTTGGAGCCATTTGCCCCGGCCATCACCGCACACATGATGGCGTTTTGTGTTTGCATCTTTCTCCAAAGAATGTAGTTTGGAGGTTGGGGGGGGGTGTTTCACATGAGAGAATTAAAGTGCCTCTGGTAGGTGCAGTGCATTGGAATCCTTCCTGATAAAGGAATGGGATTAAATTCTTTCTGAAGAGAAGGTTTGTAAAAATGATCTATATTAATTACAAAATGGTCCATAGGACCCCAGAATCTAACTTTAATGTTGTGCCATTTGAGCCCTTGTTACCTCATGATCAAGGGGAGGGCTGTGGGTGGGGTGGGTGGGGTTGTCCCTGAATTTACATTGTGCTTTCAGCAGCGTAAGCATCATGTGGAAGGACTTGGAGTTCTTACCGCCTTTAGGTGTTCTCTTGCCATTGAATTATAAGGAATGAAAGTGGGCTCCATTATTAGAAAATATCCACGTATCAAGTGAAACATGTGCCCTAGGTTATATCAGAGAACAAGGTCAGAACTCTGTGTTGAGACCAAGGTGCAGCACACAGCTCCTGTGGCGAGCTGGGAGAGGTGTTGGAATTAGGAATGATATGTTTTACTGCTGTCTTTTCTCACTTGCGAAGAAAGTTTTATTTTCAATTGATAAGGATATATAAAACGAAAACGATGTAAATATTGTCATTGTCTTAGGAATTGAGTTATATTTAGATAGCTTTAGCATGCATTCTTTTTAAATTTGTGGGTAAGCTTATCTCTTCTGCTAGGAAATGTGTAGTTAACTGTATTAGCTCTGAGGAAGTAAGCCTTGTTGCGTTGCTGCACTTTGTCCTGTGGCTCAGCAGCAGCCACATCAAGGCTCTCCTTGCTTCACTGAGGCTGTGTGCCTGAAGCCCCTGCTGTGCATGAGCACCACAATGTGCACTTTGTTGCTTCCTTTTCACTTTAGTTGAGTTTATTCTGATTCGTAACGACCCCATAGGACAGAGTAGAACTGCTCCTTTGGGTTTCTGATGCCCTGTTTTTAAAAACAAAACAAAACAGTTTTGTTGGCATATAATCCACACACCACACAATTCAATAGGTAAATCATAACAACAATCTTCATTTTTCTTGAAGAATTTTACTGTGTTTTTCTTAACAGCCTTATTGAGATACAATTCATAAAGCATAGGTTTCTTGTAAAGTATGTAATTAGTAGATTTTAGAACACACCCCCCTCCTTTCCCCCCCCCAGCATTAACAGTGTCTTAATTCTAAGACAATTAAATGAAACCCTGTGCTCATTAGCTGTCATGGCCCCTTTTCTCTATCCCTTAGCAGCTACTAACCTACTTTCTGTCTCTGGACTTGCCTATTCTGGACAGTCTTATATGAGTGAAATGATAAAATGTGTGGCCTTTTGCTTCTGGTTTTCTCATTTAGCATATTTTCCAGGTTCATTTACATTAAAGCATAAATCAGAAGTTGCTATTTTTTATTTGTCTCAAATTGTCGTTTCTCATTTCATTTTTATTCCTCTGTGTATTTTGCTACATGTATTTTTTTAATTTAGTGTTTGCCCTGGGATTAATAATTAACATCTTCTGATAAGCTAATTCTAATTAATACCAACCAAATTTCATGAAAGGTGCATATTAATACATTTTATGCCATTGCTTCATGCAGTTGTCTTTTAAATCACATAGAGGAAAACATTACAAACAAAAATTAATTTATGCTGCTTTTTATATTTACCTATATAGTTATGTTTATTAGTGCTTCTTATTTCTTGTTTTTTTTTCCTTCTGTTTTTTATTTCTTTATGTAGATACAAGTTACAGTCTAGTGTCTGTTCATTTCAATTTGAGGGAATATCTTTCGTATTTCTTGTAGGCCAGGTCTGGTGACAAAACTCAAATTTTTTTGTCAATTTGGAAGTGTCCTTATTTTGTTTCATGTTTGAAAGTTAGTTTTGCCGGGTGTAGAATTCCTGGTTGACATTCATTTTCTTTCAGCACTTTGGATATGTCTTGCCACTGCTGTACATTTTACTGAAGAAGTCTTGTACATGATGGAGTACTTCTATTCCTGTTTACAAGAATATCTCGCTCAGCAGTTTGAATCTCTTTTAGATTATTCCACTTGGAGTCTCTTGAGCTGCTTATATATGGAGATTATCCTTTTTCAGGAAATTTGGCAAGTTGTTAGACATTATATTTTCTTGTGCCATTTTCTCTCTATTTTCTAATTCTGAGATTCCAATTGTGTACATATTTTGTACGTTCGGTGGTACCCCAAAGATGTCTGTAGTTCGTTTACTTTCTTCATTGTTTCTTTTACCGCATATCTCAAATGATCTCTCCGAGTTTTTTTCTCCTCAAGATGATTTCTTCTGCCTATTTGAATCTGTAGTTGTCGCCTATTGAAATTTTCATGTCAGTAATCATATAGTTGTTTTGTAGAATTTCTATTTGATTCTACAAAGAAGCTTCAAAAAAGTGTGTGGAAAAATTCCGTTATCTCTTACTCCAATTTTCCACGAATTTTGAAGCCCCTTGTATTTTGTAATTTGTACTTCATGATTAATTTATTGAGACATTGTTCTCATGTTTTCATTTAGCTCTTTGTTCATGATTTTCTTTAGCTTCTTTTTTTGTTTGTTTAATAGAGGAGCTTATTTATTCAAGGCTCTATTTTATTTTTGACTGGACTCAGACTCAGAGGTGGAAGCCCTCAGTGAGGACAGCCTCCTTCTCTTGGCAATCTGTTCCTGCCGTTTCTCTTTGGCCTCCTTCATTCTCTTGGCCAAAAGCTCGGCGTATTCAGCGGCCTCCTCCTTGTTTTTCTTGGTGTGCTGCTTCTTCAGGGCAATGCGCTAGCGCTTGTGCTGCAGGACGCGTGGAGTCACAAGACGCCGAATCTTGGGCACTTTGGTCCTGGGTTTCTTGCCTTCTTTGTTCAGGGGCTTCCTCACAACATACTGGCGGACGTCATCTTCTTCAGAGAGATTGAAGAGCTTGCGGATCCTGCTGCCTCTTTGGGGCCCCAGGCGAGGAGGCACAGTTGTGTCAGTCAGTCCTGGGATCTCTTTCTCCCCTTTCTTTACAATAACCAAGTTGAGAACGCTCAGATTGGCATCCACAATGCAGCCCGGACAGATTTGCGCTTCCTCTCCGCAGTTCTCCTTGGTCTAGCAGGAGTGCCCCTTACTCAGCAGTAGGCGGACACGCCTGTGGGTCAAGACACCTTTCTTCATGGGAAAGCCTTGCTTGTCATTCCCACCACTGATGCGGACAACATAGCCCTTCTATTCGTCGCCCAGCGCCTCGGGGGCAACTTCCGTGGCCATTCACTTCTCATAAAGGTGCGAAGTTTGCGCTCATTGTCCACTTCGATGAGTTTCTGGCAGCCAGTGGCTGGGAAGGAGATGCTCAGCTTCATGGTGAAGCAGCCGACCGCTCCGCAAAGATGCCTCAGAAAAGAGACTCCTTTAACTTCTTAAAGAAAATCTTTTTCTAATGAGTTCAATGTTTGTGTTCCTTAGAGGCAGTTCCTGTTAATTTTTTTTCTTTTGAAAATAAGACATTTTTCTTTTTGCATGCTTCATATTTTTTTGGTTAAAATTGGACATTTTGATTATTATAATGTAGTAAGTCTAGAAATTAGATTCATATCCGTTGCCTGGTTTTTTTGTTACTGTGTTTGCTATAGTGTAAGTTTTGTGACTGTTGAAATAAATCTGTGCAGTCTTTATTCTTCGTCATGTGGTTACTGAAGTCTCTGGTTGGCTAGCTTAATAGCTAATGATTAGTTAGAGATTTCTTGTGAGGCTTTGAGCCAGTGAGTCTCGCAGCTTCTGCCAAGATGCTTTATGTGCAAGTTGGGGCACATCTTCAGGGCTCTGGCAGGCAGTTTACCACTCTGTCCTTGTCTTTACTTTCTGTCCCTCATCTGGAAGCGAGACCTTGGGGCCGTCTCAGATCTCTTCTTTGCATATGCACAGGTATGCACAGTGTGGATTCCATAGAATATGGCCGGCTTTTCAAAGCGCCTTATGGACATTTTATTATGTCTTTGTTTTTATTTTAAGTCTTTTTTGGGGGGGGGGTTGCCTCTAGCTAGCCCCAACTGTTAAACACTGCCTCAGGCAACTGCAGTGTTAAACAATTGCATTTGATTATTTCTGACAAATAACCAGGGAAATAAAAAAACTATGAGAATAGAGCTTTTCATTGAGCTGCCAGACGAGATAACCAGTGATGGTTTTCTGGGAATAGGGCTTCTGGAATGCTCCAAATCCCTTCTGCCCTACTCAGTGGGTGTTAGATGGGTAGTTTCCACAGCTACCACATGGCAAAGCTGTTGATCTTCAGTATTATGTTGGAGAAAGAGAGAGAGATGGGATAGGGTTAGGGCTAGTAAAATGTCCCAAAGTGTGCTGCTCTTAATAGAAATCAGCCTTTTTGAAACAAATACCCCTTGGATTGCTGCAAGCTTACCTTAATTTCCAGAGCTCTGAAAATACTGTTAAAAGAGTTGCTGCAGTGTTCTTACTGCATCTATAGAAGGAATCAGTTTTTAGTGTCCTCACTTCATCATTCCACAGTTGCTAACTTTGCAGTTTTTAAATAATTTTTTTCATTATTATAAGTTGATTAAGTTAGGTAAAACTTTGAAATCATTGTAAAATTGTTTTTAAGAAGAAAAAGTGTTTATTTTTAAATAGAGTGAACATAGGTTTCTAAATATCATGGATTCTCACGTTCATGGTGTCCTGATGAAGATGCTTTCTTGAAGTGAATGTTTGAGATTACTTGAAGCACTATTTAGGAAAGCCAGCAAGCTGCTGTGTATCACACAAGGTTGCCATCAGTACAGAATTCTGTCTTCCTTTCTGTGTGACCTGGCACTTGAATTTGCTGTCTGTTCGTGTGTGGTGAGCCCCCTTGAGTGCATGTTTGCTGTGGGTGATGGTCTTGATTTGTTCAATTACTGCTCTTGGCAATAGTATAGGCACTCAATACATGTTGTCCGATGAACTAAATTCTTCTTTTTAACCTTATTATTATAATTTATTTTTTAAACAATTTTATTGGGGCTGTTACAGATATTATAACAATTTGAGCCCTTATCAGCTCCTCTTTTTTCCCTCCCACCCTTGTGAACCCTTGATAAATTATATATTATTTTTTCAAATCTTACACCATCTGCTGTATCCCTTCACCCGCGTTTCTGTTATTCATCCCCCTGTGGGAGCAGGGGGGATGGTTTATATATCCATCATTGCTATCAGTTCTCTCTTCTCCTCCCTGTCCTCCCATCATGGTATCGCCATTCCCATTACTGTTTCTGAGGGGTTTATCTGTCCTAGTTTTTATCTGTACTGATGTACATAGTAGGATTTAAAGGTACAACTGGGGTCATGATTGTGGGGGGGTTGGGTTGGAAGCATTGATGAACCAGAGGAATGTTGTGTGTTTCATCGATGCTATACTGCATCCTCTCTGAATCGTCCCTTCTGTGTGACCCTTGTGTGAGGGGATGTCCAATTGTCTACAGATGGGCTTTGGGTCTCCACTCCAACACCTCTTCTTCACATCAATATAATTGTTTGTTTTTGATCTTCTGATACCTGATCCCATCAACACCTCATGATCACACAAGCTAGTGTGCTTCTTCCATGTGAGCTTTGTTGCTTCCCTGCTAAATGGCCACTTGTTTAACTTCAATGTTGAACTAATTTCTAAGGAACAGTTGAGAAATAGAATGAGCATAATTTATTAATGTACTCTCCACAGAGTGAATTTGAAAGTGAAAAGAAAGCTGTTTCTCATGAAGAGGAGAAAGTCAATACACGTGAGAGTGAACAAGCACAGTCCACTTGCCCAAAGGAGGAAATGCCCCAGTCTCGGCAGCTCCAGGAGCAGGAGTACCACATCCAGCAGGTATGTACAAGTGGGCTTTTCCTCCAGTGCTCTTCTGCAGGCTCTAGAGCAGCGCTTCTCAACTTGGGGGGTCACAAACCCTTTCACAGGGGCCTCCCGATTCATAGCAGTAGCAAAATGACAGTCATGAAGTAGCATAGAAAATAATGTTATGGTTGGGGGTCAGCACAACATGTATTAAAGGGTCGAGGCATGAGGAAGGTTGAGAACCACTGATCTAGATAGTCCCACAATGTTCCTTCTCCAGAGTTGTAAATATTACAGACCTTTCCTGCTTCTCTGAGTTTATAGTCTTGTAGGATCACTGGATTCAGACCTATGAATTAAATGCTTGGAGATTTATTTTGCATATGAATGAGTCTCAGACACTATGCTGACCAGCAGGTATAGAATTTTCTCCCTTAACAACCTCTCTTTCCAATTTTATGAATGGCTCAGGGCACTGAAGAGCTGCAAAGGGTCTAGGGCAGAAGTCTATGGCTGCTGAATGGCAGAGCTAGGTTTTAAACATTACACATGGGTATGTCTTATCTAATTTGATAGGCTATAAAAATTGTAATCCCAATGATAGGGAAGTATATGTCTGTAGTGGTCAGTAATTAGCATTTGGCCAAAGGGTATATTCCCAGCTACAGAAGTTTCTTCTGTCCTGGAGATAGGCAGGATGCCACCTGAGGCCATGGGCAGCTGGAAGGGAGAATGGCAAAGAGCTGTGGAGGGGGCAGGGAAGGCGGAGAGAGTCAGTAGAGCCTGCTACCCTAACCTGGTGGGAATTTTATGAAGGAGAAAGCCTCTAATGGTATTTCCCAAGCTTTTTTTTCAAAGTACCAAACTTTGCTGCTTTTAGACAATATATGAACTTCTGAAAAACGAACCTCTTGTACTGTAAAATCAAAATGCTGAAAATGACATGGTTCAGGTTAATTGCAAATAGCTTTTTATTTTCAACAATATAAACAGTGACTTTATGGGAATATCCGTGGAAAGAGACAATGGAGAAGCTCAATATCATCAGTGAGAACAAGGATAAAGACTGGCTAGAAAAGCCACCAGCTATACACATGGCAGTTCCAGTTGAAGCTGAAGAAAATCAAAACGAACCCACGAGAGCCAAAGTACAACTTTGTGTACATCCCACTTGAATTCAAAGACCGTTTCAGAAATAGATTTGACACATCGAACGCTAAGGACTGAAGGCCAGCTGAGTTGTAGGGTAACGTCCAGGGCATCACACATGAAGAAACTTGGAGGTAGGAAAACAGAAGGATAGAACAAGCTCAGCTGAAGGAAGGCAAGTTGAAAGGATTGAAGAAAAAAATTCAAGTCTCAAGTTGTAGCATTAGAGCAGTGGTTCTCAACCTTCCTAATGCCATGAACCTTTAATACAATTCATCATGTTGTGGTGTTCCCAACCATAAAATTATTTTCGTTGCTACTTCATAACTGTGATTTTGCTACTGTTATGAATCGAGTGACCCCTGTGAAAGTGTTGTTCGACCCCCAAAGGGTTTGCAGCCCACAGGTTGAGAACCGCTGCATTAAAGGACTCTTTCCTGGGCAAGATATTGAATGATGGAGGAAGAAGCATCAAAAGGACATGAAGGAATACAGAGAATCACGTACCCCAAACAACTGGTTAACATTCAACCGTTCAGGAGGTAGAGTGTGATAAAAAAATCGATGGCATTGAATAAAGAAGTCCAAACTGCATTAAAGGCACTGGCGAAAAACAAGGCTTCAGGAATTGATGGAATATTAATATGGATACTTAATCAAATAGAACACTGGATGTTTTCCCTCTATGCCAGAAAATTTGGAGGACTGTTACTTGGTTAGCCAACTGGACTAGACTCATAGTTGTGCCCATTCCAAAGAAAGGTGATCCTAAAGCATTTAGAAAGTATCTAACAGTATCTTTTATATCACATGCACCTAAAATTGTGTTGAAGGTAATTAAAAAGCACTTGACGTGAATACAACAAGGGGGCTCCCAGAGATTCAAGACAGATTCAGAGGAGGATGGGGAGTGAGGGACATTGCTGACATCAAGTATATTTTGGCTGAAGGCAGGGAATACTAGAAAGATGTTTGCACACACACCCCCCCAAAAAAAAAAGTTTTCGTTTAATTAGATTGTGGAACATAAATTATGGATAACATTGTAGGGAATTGGAATTCTAGAACACTAAATTGTACTTACACAGAACTTGTATAAGACAATAGAACAAATGATGTTGCATGGTTTGGAATCATGAAAGGGGTGTGTCAGAGTTGGGGCTTATGGAAGAAATTGATAAATGTTTTGGATAAATTTCATCTTTTTATCATTTATTTTTTATCTCTTGTGTTTTAGAAATATTTTTCAACCCTGAGGTTTTTGTTTAGCTATATTATAAATGTTTAATCTTATTGATTGTGGTTAGAGAATGGTTGCTATCTGCTACCAAGTTTTTGTGATTATCTAAATGTTTCTTGTTGTTTGAAAAATATGGAGCTTTCTACTCTGTAAACTGTTACAGCCTCAGAAACCCACAGGCGGGTTGCTATGAGTAAGTATAGACTTTACAGCAGTGTTTTTGAGTTGATGATATGAAATGGAAACCCCCTGCCTAATTTAACATTTAAAATTCATTTAAAATAAAAGTAATAGGGCTCTTTCCAGTGCAATATGATGGTTCATGTATGTGCCTTTTTTTTGAGAGTTAAGTGAAGGTTTACAGAGCTGATTATCAGTTTCCCATTTAACAGTTCTTACATATTGTGTTTCAACTCGTCCATTACAGTCCCCTCATTTCCTCCCTGTGAGCCCCGAGGGTGGGCAGTCTAACTTCACTCTGAAGAGATGATTGTGCTGATTCTTATGATTGATTTTCCCTAGATTTCCTTGTGTTCTCCTCCGCTGCTCGCGTGAGGCTTTGTATTTTACATGCTCCATAATGGTCAGAACCCAGAGTTCTGTATTATCTTCCTGTCTAAAACAGCAGATGGTTTTTTATACCTAGAGTAATTCTTTAAGATGGGAAACTTGAGCCTTTAGCTAGTGACCAGCAGTCCACGGCTGTGGTTCATGACCACACACAAGGGCACGGGCCGGTTCACAAAGGAAGGGTATCTATGCTTTTGACCGTGACCCCTTGTACTGTCCACGTCTTTCTGTCTGTTCTTTCTTTTCACTTCTGTGAACTTAGATTCATCTGCTGTATTAGTTACTTCAGGGCAGGGCTTAAGATCTAGCACTCCAACATTGAATCTGTCAATTTTCTTTGTAACTCTGTTAGCTTTTTATTCCATTTATCTTGGCCCTGCTCATTTGGAGCATTCACCTCTAGGACTGTCATGCCCTCCTCCTGGTAAGCTAAACAAGCTCCCCCAGAGCCTTTGAATCAGGAGAAGTCCATCCAGGGTCATGTTTAAGTGTGCCCTAGATTCTCCACGTTGAGTCCATCACTGTCGGTCTAGGTGCTCCTGGACTCCTGTTACTGATATTGAACTAGAGACCCCACCAACACACGTACCTGTAGGCAGCTCGCCTTGAGCAACAGCAGCCTTGGTTGAGGGAGAGACTCCCTCACTGAGTGCTGCATAGTGATTCTCAATTGAGTCTCCTCTGCTCTTTCACCTTTTGTGTGGATTAGGTCAGCGTTTGTGTCTGTAAATGCGACCAATTCACAGAAACCTCTGCCATTGCGGATTGATCACGGAACTATGTTGTTCTCCTGCTTGGAAGACATATTTGTTACTCTAAGCTGCATGATATTACTGCCAGGTTGGTTGCTGCTTCCCAGTGAGGACCTAGAGAGCCCATGGTAGCCAATAATAGCTTACCAGGACTGTTGAAGCTGCCTGCTTGCTTAGCTCACAGGGTGAGGACTTTTAAGGTGATTGACTCATTTTTGTTTTTAGAGAGGAATATGTGAAAGGTTTGCTTGCTTGGCAACTTGTTTATTCAGAATAACCAGATGTAGGGCTTTTAGTTTACATCCTTATTTGTGAGAATAATATGATATGCTTCTCTCCTCCTCAGTGGCAAGACTGGAGTAGAGTTATTTGTGTATTCTCTTTTTTTGTAGATGAATATCAGAAGAAAAATCATAGTAGCAATTTTGCCTTTAATCACCGCCTTATTAAGCTTTGGCTATATTTTTGTTAAATATAGTCATGATAGTTCCTTATTTAAATTGTTATAACTACATCTCAAATATTTTTTTTTGAGCAGCTGAAAGGCAAAATTACATCCTTGAGTCAAGAGGTTGAAGAATGTAATTCCAAACTGGAGAAGCTGCAGCAAAGACGTGAACGAGAAAACCAGGAAGGCACAAATCTTATATCGATGCTGAAGTCTGACATAGATTTGTCTCGCAGTGAAAGGTCAGTGCCTGCAGGCCTCCTCACCCGTGGTGCCATCGCTGCTCTGTGGCCAGGCTGGCTCCCAGTCAGCTGGTGGTGTAGATGCTGGTCTTGTTTGTCAGTTCCCCTCACTCTTGGGCCCTTTATCACATGACATTGGCATGTTGCAGTTCAGTGTCTGGCTGGGCAGAGAGACACCCCCCCCCCCATGTCCACCTTATTCTTGGTATTTAAAGAACTCTTCCAAACACAGGATAAAGGACGGACTGAGTACTGTAACTAGGATCTATGCACTCACCATTTAGCTTTGCCAAATTAAAAAAAAAAAAATGCTCTTGTTGTAGTCCTCATGTCATTAATAGTTTCACTCTTCACTGCCCTCCAGTTTCATTCATCAGTGTCCACTGGTTCTTTAATGTGATTTCATCCTCAGTACACAGGTGTTGGCCTAGTAAAAGATGTTTGAAAAAGCCAATTTGTCTGGTGTTAGTATCGCCACTCCAATTTTCTTGTGGTTCTCTTAATTCTTTTTTCATCCATTGATTTTGAATCTATTAGCATCTTTTAAAAAAATCATTTTATTGGGGACTCTTATAACAATCCATCCATCCGTTGTGTCAAGTACATTTGTACATATGTTGTCATCATTTTTAAAACATTTTCTTTCTACTTGAGCCCTTGGTGTCAGTTCCTCATCCCCCCTCCCCATGAATGCTTGATAATTTATAAATTATTATTTTCATATCTTTCATGTTTCACTGACTACTGTCTCCCTTCACCCACGTTTCTGTTGTTTGTCCCCCTGGGGGAGAGCAGTTATATGTTGATCCTTGTGATTGGCTCCCCGCTTCTTTTTCCACCTTCCCCCTACCATCATGGCATTGCTACTCCCACTATTGTACCTGAGAGGTTTATCTGTCCTGGATTGCCTGTGTTGAGAACTCTTATCTGTACCAGTGTAGAGGAATGTTGTATGTGTCATTGGTGCTATACTGCACCATGACTGGCTCATCCCTTCCTTGTGACCCTTCTGTAAGGGGATGTCCAATTGTCTGCAGATGGACTTTGGGTCTCCACTCTGTCCCCTCCCTCCCCCAACCCCTGTTTGCAGTATTAGCATCTTTGAATCTAAAGTGTGTCTCCTGCAGAGAACACATAAATTAATTTTAAAATATAGTCTAAACAACTCTGCTTTTTGAATGGATTATTTAATCTTTTCATATTTATTGTTACTATTGATATGAGTGGATTATGGCTATCATTTTACTTTGTGTGTATCATATATTCTTGTTTCCCCATTTATACTTACTGATTTCCTTTACATTAAACAATTATTTTCTGTTTGTAGCTCTTGTAATTCATAATAACTTTAAAAAAAAATCATTTTGTTGGGGCTCTTATAACTCTTGTTACAAACCATACATCAATTGTATCCGACATATTCATACATAGATTCCATCGTTCTTTTCTAGACCATAATAACTTTTTTTTAGTATGTTCTCTGAGGCTTACCATATTATGAGTATGCATAAAGTCATTAGAATATACTTCACATAAGCTTAACTCTAGTGATATGTACAAATGCTACTTTAAAAAAAAATCAATTTATTGGGGCTCATACAATTGATCATAATACATAGACCAATTGTGTAAAGCATATCTATACATTTGTTGCCCTCATTATTCCCAAAATTCGCTTTCCTCTTGGGTTCCCGGAATCAGCTCATTTTCCTCCCCCCCCTCCC